CTAGGGGTCCTGACTTCCTTGCTTGTCTTCTCCCTTTTTCTGCTCTTCAACTGGACCTTGGGAGCTCAGTCCCTTTCTCTGATGATACTTCTCTAGAATGGCTGAAATGGGGAAATGCAAGCTCTTTCCCTGAAAACCTCCATGCCAAACTGTTCCATCATCATGCCTTTACTCATTCCTGAATATCAGAGGTTCTATGAGAAAACTGAAAGTTGAGAGATAAATTAGACTAATTGATTTCAGAGATAAATAAGGTGAGGATATAATCCGAAACTTCAAACAGCATTTTTAAAACTTCATTATAATGGTTGCAGGAGACTGTAGTGGCATTTCAATTGTATTTTAACAAATAAAACTTGCTTGGTGTTCAGGAGAGTGAAACAGCCACATTGGTCAGCCTCACAGCAAGGCAGTGGTAACACACATCATTAATTCCAGTATCCACATTAGTTTAGTTGCCATAAAAATCAAGCAGGGCTTGCCTTTAATCCCAGAACTAGAGAGGATTATAAAATGGAAAGAAACATCTCAGAGACAGTATCATTCTGGGATTTCTGGAAGCAAGATTGCTATTTTATGACTGAGGTTGAGGTAAGAGTCTGTGGCTGGCTGCTTGACTTTTGTGGTCCTCAAGTTTAAACACAACTCCTTTCCCTGAATTCCTTAAAATTGTGTGAAGGATACTTACTAGTTTATGCTGGGTTTGCTTTGAGATTAAAGCTCTCATCTCAATCTTAAATTAATGTTCCCCAGGATTTCCACAGAGTGAATTCTGGGGTGCTCTTTGAATTTCTATTTCTCTATTAGTCTGGAACCTGGAGTCCAGTGTGTACTCAGCATAAGAGAGACTTTACACATGAGAGAAAACAAACCCATTTAGCCTCAATTTGCTATTTCATGCTTTTCCACTCTTTCCCTCTCCAATCATCCCTTCTTTTAATTCATGTTTTCTTACTCTAAGTTTCTTTTGCTGTTGTGAATTTTTGAGAATATTTTATTATTTTCCTAGTGCTGTTAATCTGAGATAGCTTTCCTAACACTTCTGCAAAAGCAAATTGGTTTAATATGTCTTGGATTTTAAGACAAAGTTGTTATTAGAGTACCTAATAGATTTCTGTTGGAAAGCTATAAGCTGATTTCTTTCAGTGATCATTCTGCCTTTGGTGTTATTTTTGTCTGCTGATTGTCACTAGCCACTCGATCACACTGCTCAGACATTTCCTTATGTATTTGCTGACTGCTTTGCATGGGCCCTTCCTGGCCAGCCCAGCTGCTAAGAATTTATAAACCAGACTTTTACAATGTGAACTGAGATGCATGAGTCTGGCAAGAGGAGCAAGATGAAGTCACAAACAAATGTCCTCATGTCCCTGCTGCTCTGGGTGTCTGGTGAGAAATATTATAATTTTCAAGTCACTTCTTTGTATATTAGAAGTTTACAATGTGTGCTAGGACATAATATTTTTTACAGTATTATTAAGATATACACTGACAAGGTGACATTCCAAAGTTATTAAATAATAAATCTCAACTGTTACCATATTCTGTGATTGCATATTATAAATCTTCATTTTGTATTCTTTTGCAGGTGCCTGTGCAGATATCATAATGACCCAGTCTCCATCCTTCATGGCTGTTTTAATAGGAGAGAAGGTCACCATCAGCTGCAAGTCCAGTGAGAGTCTTTTATACAGTAAAGACCAGAAGAACTACTTGAACTGGTACCAGCAGAAACCAGGACATGCTCCAAAACAGTTAATCTACTATGCATCTACTCGGGATTCTGGGGCCCCTGATCGCTTCATAGGCAGTGGATCTGAGACAGATTTCACTCTCACCATCAGCAGTGTCCAGGCTGAAGATAAGGCAGATTATTACTGCCTACAGCTTTATAAATCTCCTCCCACAGTGTTTCAGCCTCCAACATAAACTTCTGAGAGTCTCAACAGCTGCCTACTCCACAGACTGCCCTGCACCTGCACACTTCTGTCTTCTGAAGTGTGCCTAAAACTCTGATCAAAACATTTTCAGAGCTGGGGAAGATATAGGGTTTAAATGTCTCAATTTTTTTGGTATGAAAATTCTGTATGTGAAAAAGCAGCGGAGAATTCAGTATTATCTTTCTATGTCGTTTGTAACTCAATACCACAGACTCTTTTGCTTGAGTATGAAGGATTTATCTTTCTGTAGTTCTGGACTTCTGGTATCCATCATAGGACTCTCTGGGCTGAAGTGATGGTGGTGACAATTTTTTTTTTTTTTGCTTTTTTGCTTTGGAAGCTGTGGGAAAGGGTTTTTTCCCACTTTTCCATATTATATTCTTTAGGGCTTTCTTACATCCTTAATG